GGAATTCAACCGTGTTCTGCTCACTGTGTTTTAGCAGCTAGCTTTAGCTTCTGAAAACTACTCTGCCTTAACAACAAAGGAGGAAGTTGTGAATTATATACAAATAAGTTTCGTGTGAATAGCGAAACGTTGGGCTAACTTCAGTGTTAGCTAATAAAACTTTTGGAGGTATTAATGAATTAGCTGAGTTAGCCATGGAATAGCTACACACTAGGCTAACAAATATTGTTTTTGTTAATGTTATCTATTTTATAGTTGACCTTAGCTAGCAGTGACTAAATGTTAGCTGCTGTCAACGATGGTGTGTATGTACTTTCACGACTGTGTTGCGTTCTAACTGGTGTCGTACCGAGAACAAAGATTTCCACGCCTCGGCTACGAAGCTGCCGAGCCGACGCCTCCACCGCGTCCTCAGATTTGCTGTCAGTGATGATGAGCAGGACTTTAGGAAATGCTGTTCTGGCTCCGCTCGCGGCCGTGAAGGTGTTCTTGAGCAGGAAGTCGAGAGCGCCACCTGGAACCAGATCAGGGACAAAGGTTTGGTTTCAGCAGCTGGATCTTAGTGAAGAACATGTTCACCCCCCCTGGCCCCCCCCCCAACAGGAGAGAGTGGCCCAACAGTCTGTTACTCTAGCACCACCTACCTGTCCTGGTGTTTCCCCCCCTGTGGCTGATGGAGTTGACGGCCCGCAGCAGGGCGCCTGGGCTCAGGTGAGAGTTCAGACCAAACTCGGTCCTGGTGTCGGTGCCGTACTGAACCACGGCCACGTGGGTTCCATCCTCCCCGACCTGAAAGGCCCGGACCGCAGCAGACAGGAAGCTGAGGATGTACTTAAAGTTGGGCCGCCCAACGCTGCGGGAGCCGTCCACCAGGAACACCAGGTCTGCCACAGCACCCCCAGAGCATTCTGGGAAATGGTTAGGAGCAGCAGACGAAGAGACGAAGACGAGGCAAAGCAGTTAGCAAAGACTCCTCTACAGCTATGTATTAGCATTAGCATCAGTCAAGGGAGAACTGAAGAAACTCACCGACTGACTGTGACGGCGCCGGGTTCCTGGACGAAGCTCTGCCGCTGGACTCCACTGAAAGAACAAAACACTGTCATGAGGCTGGAGAACAAAAACACAAGACTCTTCAAAAAGGACAGAGCTAAAGGACAGAGCTAAAGGACAGAGCTAATACAAATGAATTATAACCATGAAAATGTTCAACGAGTCCAAATAAAAGTGAAGTAGCAAACATGCTAACTAAAAATCACAGTCACAATCACCAACTAAACCAGCCTGACAGTAACACTGCGTAATAGTTATCATCTTGATCTGTTCACTAACACCTAAATAGGCTATTAGCTACAATCTGTTCCTATGGTTCATTAGCTTACTACTACTATCAGCTAATATTGTATCTTAGTCATCTGAAACAGCCGAAGGTTAGCCTAAAGTTAGCTAGAAATCATCACAAAATCCAACTAAAAGTTAGCCGAAGATAAGGATTTCCGACAAACTGAGGTTCCTGAGGATTGATGATAACCAGCAGGGGGCGACTTACATGTGATCTGACCCGAGACCGGACGACTCTCGGCTGATTCTGTAAAAGCTGACAGGAGGACCGTGTGACCCAGATCTGGACTCAGGTCTGAGATGGAGGTCTTAGTGGCAGAGGGAGGGAGAGTAAACTCTCTGATGGTTTCTCCTGCAGCAGAGGAGGAGGAGGAAGAGGAGGAGGAGGAGGAGGAGGAGGAGGAGGAGGAGGAGAGAGGGGGAGAACATGAAGAACCTGAACCTGGTCCAAGCAGAACCTCAGCAAAACCAGCAGAAGTCAGTCTGAGCCTGGTACTGAGGACAGAAGACGGGTCAGGGTTTCACTCTGAACTCCTCTTGTCTGTTAGCTACCTCTGTTAGCTACCTCTGTTAGCTACCTCTGTTAGCTACCTCTGTTAGCTACCTCAGCTCTGCAGGTTAGAATACAGTGGGTTCGACAACGCTAGCTCAGTACAGTTAGCAGCCGTAGGTTTAGCTAACAGTGTTGTAGCTTCATCAACACTCACCTGTTTCCGACGTCACTCGGATCCTGTAGCCCTGAATTCTGGACCGTGGTCTGGTCCAGACCATCTGCACAGAGTTCTGGTTCAGGATCTTAAAGCTCAGACCTGACGGAGGTTCAACTGTTGGGAGGAGGTGACAGTTAGCGCTACAGCTGCAGTGTGAGTGTATGTCTAAGTGTGTGTGTGTGTGTGTGTGTGTGTGTTTTCCAACAGACGACACTTCCATAGAAGAAGTCGCTAAATTCCCAACTGTTGGAATAACACGGGGATGAAAACACAAAGAGGAGGAGCCACAAAGAGGAGGGGCCACAAAGAGGCGGAGCCACTGGACAAACGGAGGAGAGGAGAGTGTGACGGTGGTCATCAACAACGCCACAACAGCCACACAACGTTCTGACACAGGAACAACAATCACAAACAGAGGGCGATGAAGGACGAGTCTGTCATAACTGGCAGCTAGTTAGCATAAACAACAACGTTAGCACAACGTGGTTCGTGGGCCTTCTGACAGCCAATCACCAAGTGCCTCAGTGTGGCACATGACCACGTGACAGTGTGACATGAGCACGTGTCGTCGTAGCTCGTGTCGTCGTAGCTCGTGTCGTCGTAGCTCGTGTCGTCGTAGCTTCTGTCATCGTAGCTTGTGTCGTCGTAGCTCGTGTCGTCGTCCGCACCGCGCGTCGCCGTTCTTTGTGTCGTCGTAGCTCGTGTCGTCGTAGCTCGTGTCGTCGTAGCTCGTGTCGTCGTGAGATGATACGATGTTACAATACGCTAAATTGTTTGGTCTCAGTGACGGACGTCTCACTGTTCTAGTCTGGTATCGTGGTACGACTTTAACTTAAAAATTAGCAAAGGAATTTTTCTATGCTGATGTCACTACGACGAGTTGACGTGCGACGTCTTCCACGACGTCAGTCCAACTCCCGATGTTGAATCGACCATGAAAACAACACAACCTTCTTCCACTCGTTGATTCTACAATGGAGGCAAAACTCCGCCTCCATTGCAAACCCGATAAAAGACGACAACACGTCCGTCACGGCGCGTGTCCATCTTTTTTTTCTCTCCAGAACTTTTTTAACTATCCTTATCCAGAACCTTGTTGGAAACTTTTTTTCTAAAAAATGTTTCATCGTTTAACTTCAAATATTTCAGCCAACAGGATACAAGATCTGGAGGAAAGTTAAAAAAAGTGCGTTTTACCCGACAGTGAGGGTAAACGTTGAAGAAGCTAACTGTTAGCATCATGCGCTTGTACATGAAAAGTTGTTCTTTTTCACAACAACTTGGAAAAAAACACAAACAAACAGAGTTTCCATGTACAGCAGGTATTTTTATCAAATATTTTAAAACGATATTCTTCAGGTTGGGGTCGAAAAGATAACGTTAAAACAACCTAACTTTACGCACCCTAGCTAACCATTAACTAGAACATTTCTGGTAGACATGCTTATAATTCCGACTCCGACTAACGTGACTAAACAGTAAAGAGTTCCTTATATCGTCAAACTTTCAGGTCATGTTAGCATTGAAACGAGAAAATTAGCTACGCACTTCAAATCGTTAGCCCACGTCTTTTAGCTTGGTCTCTCGTGTGTTGAAAATAATTACAGTGACAGCGCCCCCTCTGGTCTTCTAGTGTTTCCCCACATCTAACATATTTTCAAGTGTTCGTGCTAACATCAAACGGAGGCGGTGCTAAAACAACGATCTGACGCTCGTCAGAAGGTTAGCTCTCCGACTAACTCCTGGACCACCAACCACAGGTTGTTAGTGTGACAGTGAAGAATATCAGGATAAAATATTGTCGTGAAGCCCGGACCGGAGGTCAAGGCTTGACCGGAGGAAGTTGTAGGAGGTGGTAAATATGGGGGAACCACCAACCTGGTGAGTCCACTCTGACCTCCTGGGCGGCCGCTCCTCTTCCAGACCGGAATTATTCACACAAATCAACAAAACCTACTGGGGAACGGGAGCCGGGGGTTGAGCCTCCAGCTGGAGGGAATCCACCCTCGAAAGTCTGAAGTAGGAATTCTCCGGAAAAACAACGGCGTTAACGCGGCTACTAAACCTGAGGGTGAAACGCCACCCGCTGGGCTTCCGTAGATGACACGCAGGCGGCCATGTTTGTTTCCGTGTAGACCGTGAGAGACTCCACTGTCGGTCTGGATCCCGGCAGACCAGTGTCGGAGGAGTAGAGATTAGGGATTACAGGTGACAGATTAAGGATTATAGACCAGGAGTTGGATGTCAGGGTCACAGGGTGGATTAGGGTTCTGACCTGAGACCAGGGATTACATTTTAGCAATGAGGATTACAGATTAGAATTTAAAGATTTCAAATGAGGGATTATTATAATGGTGGGGGGGGGGGTAGTGGGATGAAGGTTTGGAATTCTAGATTAGGATTATGGAGCTGATGATGAAAACAACCAACTTCTCTACACCTGTGGTTTGCTGGTTCTAATCCAGCCTCACGTGACCTGACAGTGACGTCACTCATGTCAGGATAATTTTCCACCGCGAGGAGAAAAAAAAGTCTTTCATCTTTTCTTATATTTTCTTAGAACCTGCAGAATTGAGCAGGGTTGCAGCGACAGCTCCTCCTGCTGGAGACAGACCGACACTGCAGTCAGAGTCAGCAGCGTTTCATATTTAAAAGGTCATTTTTTTCAGGACGATTATCTTTGGTTTACGACCTACAGGAGAAAATGTTCATCATTAGACAAACGTAAAGCAGCAGGGGGCGACAACGGGCCAGGTCTCCTGTCAACTTCACTGCTTTTTAATTCCTTTTATGACTCTGTGCTGCAGTGAGGCTGTGTTTTCACCGAGAGAAAACGCTGGGATTTTGGAATTTTCCCGTCGTTCCACTTTCACCTTTTATTGTTCGACGCGGCGGGAGCTCAAACCCCGCTGCACTTCAATTCAATTAAAGGTCAATTTCAAGATTATTTACCTCCTGGGTAACAGCAGAAAATACAAGGTTTAAAACATTTAGCTGTTTTTTTTCTTCTACTTGCTGCACAGTTACAGGATTAAAAAAATAATTCTGTTTTGAACGTTGGCCGCAGGAAGAAAACCTTATTAAAACCAGGAAGAACTAAACAATCGACGTTTAGAGTTACTGATGGAAACAAGGGTTGAAATAAAATGCATCAAAAACGTTTCAGTTGTCATGGTTACAGTTTGAAAGAAAAGTTTAGAAGAAGAAGAAGGAGTCGCTGTCAGAACTGAACTGTGACAAAAAGTGAAATTCATCGGCAGCTCTGGAACAATGAAGGGAAAAAAACAAGAAACTATAAACAGAGGATCAGGAAATAAAAGATAAAGATAAAAAAAACAGACAAAAAAGATGCAACAAAATTCTTTAAAAAATGTTTTTTTACTCAAATGTAGAAAAAAGTGAAAAGTTTTTCTAACGAAGGAAGAAAAAAAGAAAAAAAAAGAAAAATAAAGTAGAGTCTGAAAAAGGAGAATTATTCACAAGGAGGTGAACATGAAGTGGAGGAGGAGGAGGAGGAGGAGGAGGCTTTACCTTCATCTTGGGCCTGTGCAGAGAACACCAGCAGCAGCGCCACCAGGTGGACAAAAGCGCCTCGAGAGAAACTGACCTTCATCTTACTGACTCCTGCAGCTCCACAGCTCCTGGAGGAGGCTGAGAAAGGAGACGAGAGGAGAAGAGTGATGTATGAAGCAGGGGAGAGCAGGAGGTCAGGAGGTCAGGAGGAGAGACGGAGACGGAGACGGAGCAACAGGAGGAACAAAGGAAATCCAAATCATCAGGAAGAACAGGTTTTCCAGGAGGGAATAAAACAAACAAACGAGAACATTTTTCATGTTCCCAGAATTCCAGACTCTGA